CTGACGTGATCCATAGATCAGCAAGATGGCATTGATGAAGGCACAAGTGTTCAAGAAGCCAAAATGATAGATTTTTACATACGCATAAAACATCAAATATACCACCTTACTTACTTTACTGGACTTTTTATTTCTTTTACCTCGTGGCCACTCCCCAACTTTCGGATTCCATAGGCTTGTAGCCAAAAACTATTAAGTTCCTATGTTAGCAACGAAACTTCCTCCATTCCAAATGCGCACTTGGCATCCGATGCCTAATATAACCATTGTAATATTGTTTGGAGAGCAATTTTTTGGGTCATGGAAGACACTGAGTTAATTGGTGCCACTCATCAACAGACAAATTACCAAATTTAAAACTTAGTTTTCTCTGTAGGTTGGTGATGATGGTGTAAACATTCCTACCAATTCCTATTCTCAGCGAAGATTATTTCTGTCATAATTTAGTTTCATTTTTGTCATTTCCTTCACGCTTAGGAGCGAACCATCAAAAGGTTGTGAGAAGATTGCACTCTCCTCATCCTTTTGCCGGCTTGCGTATATCCTGTGCCGCAAAGCGAATTTTCTCATCTCCCAAAACGATCTACTTTGCTTCTAACCGGAGATAGACACCGCGAGGGGTAGTTTTCCGACTAAGCTATTCATTATACAAGTCGGTGGTAAGACGTCAAAATCGGACCTAAATTACTACCCTCCTCAAGATAATCAAAGTGGACTACTAAAGCAGAGACATTGAGGAGCTGCCGGTCCAACTGCCTTGGCGAGAAAGCCAAAATTTTCGTAGGAAATGGCAAAATATGTGTTCATTTTTAAAAGAAAAAGTGGAAAGCAATGTGAGTGTTGGAGTTTTTGCCAAAAAAATTGGTGTCTATTTACCGGCGGTCTCTACTGACATATACGGAGAGCATTTTTATCCTCATCCTTCTTTTCTCTGGATGAGGGCTTTTTTTTCTCTACCTCCAGCCACAAAGTTGTGAGATGACTGGGCTGTGTCAACTGTTTGCAATTTCGGCAGAATTCCCCTTCAAAATGGAAACAAAACAACTTACTCCCTCGTTCAGAGTGCGAAAGTTGTGAGACAAATGAAAATAAAATTAGTTTCCTCCAAGGAGTAGTGCTGCGATTGCTTCGGAGGCGAAAAAACCATATTACCATAGGAGAGGATATGTCGCCGACCCAAAGAAGGATTTGGTGACTACTGGCTTACTCCAAAGTCCAGCGATGCTGTGATGGAAGTCCGAAGCGCTGCTTGTTCCTTAAGAGTAATTCATAATGGTATTTTGGTTACAAAAGAAGGAAAATATTGGCTATTTGTTATTTTATTGACTTTGTTTGATCTAAAGTTATCAGCGGCCCGAATAGGAGGCTCTAACCTGAAGACAGAAGAAATATCTATTCTCTGAGCAACTTACTTTTATTTACTATCATTACTACCCAAATGGGGTCGCAACGATAATACCTAATGGTTTTTTTTCTTTAAACAACTAGACAGATTTTGAGGGCAAAGCGTAATTACGTGAGTCTGACCCAATTAAAACTTTCTCAAAGCCATCACCTCGACCAGCGTTTTGATTGGTTGATCCCATGGCGAGCCTATCAGGAGTGTCGCATTGCGGTTGCATCGGCATAATAATAAACTTTTGCTTGTGGGTGAGAGGTCATATTGAGTAGGCTCTTTGTGAACGAAAAGTTGTAATCTGCAATTAATCCGCTTCTACAACCACTCCCTCACACACGAACGCAGCGTGTGGACATCCAAATGTCGTACATGTCTTCACCCTGATTGGTCACCGCAATGACGTCAACCACACCCAGTGTCTTAGTGCCAGCACCTAACCTCGGCACAGCCGAACCCCCATTGGCCATCATTTACAACCTTCGCTCCGGCAACATCAGTGTCAATCCGTTGCCGGCAAACTCGGATTTAGCTCCTCAAGACCTTTCTGAGTACCGTCTGACCGTCCCAGTGACGACGGTTCGTCGAAAGTCGGTGACTCTGTCGGAGGACGATATGTGGCGTGGGTGGCCTTCAAAATCTGGGCAAAATCATCGAAGCGAGGAGGAGGAATCAGCAGCGACTGTACCGCGTAGAGGAGGTAGAGGTGGGAGGAATATCCAACGCCAGGGTTTCGGTACCGAGGCATGGAGGATTCAAAATCCCACTCTGGTGGAACAAGTCCTAGAAATGGAGGAAAAACTTCAGTCCTCTTCACCCCCTTCCCAGCCACGATCGCCAACTGCAACCACAATGCACTACTCCCCACCACGGATTGTGAAACCGAAGAAGGCCTCACAGAGTGCCAAGAAGAGGGCTTTTGCACCGAAAGCCTTCACGCTAGGTGGTAGACGTATTGAACCGGTGCATTCAGATGAGGAATGGTTCCTTGAACGACTGCTAAGGATCTTCGCTCTCATTGCCTTCGTGTTGACTCTGCCTTTCTCCCTCCTCTTCTGCTTTAAAGTAAGTATTCCTACATTTTATTCTTCCCACTCATTCCATTAATAACTTTTTTTGCATTTACCCTTCATCATGTCAGATTTTTTCACATTTAAAGTTGAATCTGCTTTTAAATTGCTACAATTTTGATTCCAATTTGAAGTAGTTATTTGAACTGGATTGCCTGATCCGCATACGTAAGCACCCAAAATATCCCTCAACTGTGCCTCCAGATAATTACGGATGTGATAGTTGATTTAATGCAAATTCTCCTCCAAAAACTCCACTATTTTGCACC